AAATTCTGTCCATGAAAATCTTGCTGAGAATGTAAGCGAATCACCTTGCTTTTCCTCTGCTTTACTAGTCTGTCAATTCTGAAGAAGTAATTTCTTAATCTGGAGTTATATGCTGACATAGAGAAAAGTCCTTAAGTTACGTTCTAATCTCTTGTCAACCAAAGCGATGCTACCACTTGGTTTTTCACTTACTCCTTGAATTGTGAAATTGCTTGATTTCCCTCATCAACAACACTTTTAACTCTCATCATGCAGTAAAGGTGCACTTTAGTATAACATACGTCTTCCTCTATACTTCTTACATCAAATCCTTCATGTCCCTTTTGCCCACTTGTCTAATCAAAAATAACTAAATTTTCAAGTTTAGCAAACATTTGCAGAACATCCCGACGCCATAGCATCTGCTCTTGAACAACTTGGTATGTTACCAGAGCAAATATGACCATTGGATCCCCTAATGTATATTTTTTCTTGCAAACAGGCACATTTATTCGGGGAGTAGCATTTTGAGCGTATCGTCTTATACAGGATTTTTGTCATCAACATATGTTTTGTTTGCTTTTGTGTGTTTTCTTCGAAAGCACGTAAGCAAGTTGTTTTCTCAATAAGTAATTTGCAGATCTTGACTTTTTATTGCTTGCAGATTTGGAGACTTGATAGTGCTAAATACATCAACATTACTTCTTAATACCAAAGCTCGGCACGAGGTGGATTCCCGAATTTGCAAAAAACGAAGTCCCTTTGACTTTACAATGAAAGTACGACATCCGCCATGAGATTTTAGAGGAGAAAACACGTGAAAGAGAAGGGCACAAAGCAAAGCAAAAAAAAACGCCAAAAAAGAATCAAGCAAACGCGATGATGTTCGTATTTTCCGGATTGGCGGCATGGCCTATCCAGCGCGCAGCAAAACGCGCCTGGAGCAGCGTTGCTGCTGCCATCCAAGGGGTTGAGCCGGTCTAGGAAGCAATTTGTAGGGTTTGGGATGCAGGTGAAAATTATGTAAAGAAGGTAAGAAAATCATAAGGGAAAAATTTATGACTTTTTTCTTCCCAAGCCACCTCAGGTGGCTTCCAGGTGGCTTGAAAGCCACCTGACTCCGAAAAGAGTTTGGCACTCCTTCGCTCACATAATTTTCCCATATTTTTTCATACGTAGTTTTAACTCCTCGTTGCCCATCTACACACCAATTTTGGTGTCGTTTCATTTTCACTTCGTTGTAGACAAACCCCTTGTTTGTTTGGGCGGGCATGTTGCCGGCATGCCGGCAGCGTGCCAGCGGCACGTGGACCATATATCGAGAGACAGCAGTATGTTACTCGGCAAAAACGATATTTTCTTTGCTTTTTCTCCGAGAAACGATACCCAGCTTGCTTGGTAAGAAACCTGTGCCGTGCCCTGCTCAATATATCTGAAGATTTGTCGCATTTGTGCTTGACTTCTATTTTTCTGCTATTAACAACTACAGTAGACTAATCCTGCGCTCGTATGACCTAAAGTTTGCATATGATACTAGAGATTTTGGATTGTTTCTATCGAATCGTCTTAAATACTTCCAGTTTTGAATTTTTACCGCAATAAGTCACACAGTTTTTCAATTTTGATCAGATTGCAGGTTACTCTTCGATAGAGCAAAGCAAGTTCTAAGATGGCATGTAGGTGTTCGCACCAAGTTCAGCACCGAGTCAGAAGTCGAAATCTGAAAAATACCGAATTTATCTCTATGTGCAGGTTATTTTATGTTGAAACCAATATTTCTCGGGACTACACTTAAGGAAAGCTGAAAGTCTAATTGTATTTCCAGGGTTGTGGTATACATTTACTTATGTGTAAACGACGCAGCATCCCTTTTTTGAAAGCTTGGAAATTTCAGTTCTTTTGGTTTCTAGCAGAGAGTATGTCTGATGTGAATTGTATATGTATAAGCAAGTATGGTAGGTTTTTTGGACAATGACATGAGTTTACAATTATTGGGCCGGAAAGTTGCAAATTTGGCTTCCAACTCGTGATGTGCTAAATCTGATGCGAACATCTACATGAAATCTTACACAGCTTGCTTTGCTCTAGCGAATAATATCCTGCACTAGCTGGCTTACCCGGCTCCGCCGTATGTTCCGAATAGAAAATTCCATTTCTCAACCGATCCGGACCAAACTTGGCACACATACCCTTCGGGCCCCGGCGGGTGTCACAGTCCACTTTTCGTTATCGATCGATGTCGATTTTATCGATTTTTTGCAAAATTTGAGCTAGGGGGCTGGAATTTGGCAGAGGGGTGTAATCGAGCATGCTGATCACCCCCACGAGGGTGATCAGCATGCTCGATTACCCCTGTGCCAACTCCCAGCCCTGTAGCTCAAATTTTGCAAAAAATCGATAAAATCAATATCGATCGATGACGAAAAGTAGCCTATGACACCCGCCGGGGCCCGAAGTGTATGTGTGCCAAGTTTGGTCCCGATCGGTTCAGAAATGGAATTTTCTATTCGGAACATACGTACAGACAGACAGACATACATACAGACAGACATACATGCAGACAGACAAACAGACATTCAGCTATATATATAAGATTGTAATGAGGATGACTTATTGATTTGAAAATTTAGGATAAAGAACTCTTATGAGACACCTAATCAACTAGTCGGGAATTAGCGAAATCTACTACTGATATGTGGAAGTGCACATATTGAGCACATAGCAAAATTCTTCACCAAAAATTCACAGCAAAAAATTATCACAGAATCTGTAGTAAAGATATGGCAAAAATATCTCCACAATGGATCAACGTCGCTCTTATGCATAACAGCTAGTCCGCTGTGAAGCTGCGGCAGAACTTCAAAAGCATTCAATCAATTATTAGCTGTATTTTAATCACTTAAGTTTCACTTACAGGGTGCGCCAAAAGTACTTGCGTCAACTTTGCATACGTGCTGCAAAAAAACTACTTAAAGTTTTGATTTCAAAATTTATGAGGTAGAATGCTGCTATCATTCTCTACAAAGTAGCGTTTTGTGAGCCCAAGTGATTGCCATACCTTTGTGCAAATAATGAAATTGTCGAACTAATACTTTTGGAAGGCGCTAAAACCTAATTTTTCGGTAGTTATAATTGATTCCGTAACTGGAGTTTGAGACATCTTCAAGGATTTTTATGTCCACAGTGTGGAGGAGGCTTTGCGCTATCGAATCGTAGTACTGGCGTTGCCAACAATTATTCTTCCAAAAATGGCAACAAATAGTACACAAATGTCACCCGCGTGTCAGTGGCCGTTTTAAAATCAAATCACATTTGTAAGCTACAGAAAGGTGCCTGTCACCGGATTCAATGTTATAGTGCTTTCACAAAGCTTCTAGATAAATATTCAGTTCTTTTCCACTGATGAAATTGAACTCCAACCTCTGATCTGGAGTCAATTTCTGCTTTTCTTTCGCTCATTTGTACCCCTAAAATGTGCAGTTTTTGAGCATGTAGCAAACGCATTACTTTGTTTAAACGCCGATAATTTTCTTGTTAAACCATCCTAGATTTTGCGCTTACAGCATGTTGCAGCCGAAAACTTGCTCTATCATGTGGCTCGTTCCTTGTGTCACAGAAGCATTTTTCTATGAAGAAGCAGAAGATTCTCTGAAAAAATACCTGCGTGTTGCGCGCAACTTAATCAGTATGATGTTTTGTGAATTTTCTCAAGCCACACTTAGAAATTCCAATTCATACTATAGCCTCTTAGTGACAAACCGTACTGAAACAAAATAGCTTTTTGCCTATCGCTGATCTCGTCTTACACGAGTTTTGCGTTGCAGAATACACGCGCAAATAATTCTGGCGCACCCTGTAGTCTACATACTCGCTTCTTCTCCTGCAGATTAGTAATCGTTTTTAGAAATTTCTCAACCACTTGCTCCTGTCTCTGCGAAAATTGTTGAGATAGAGAGGCTCATTATATTTCAGACGTTGAAGGGTTGACCTCTTCATCCAGAAATCTTATAGTTCTTGCTAAGTGAATCGACAACAAGTTTTACCTTCCATGACGGACACCAAAGCATTTTATTTTTTGTTACATCTCACTCTCTATCATGCAGTACGTAGCCTCTAAATTCTCTTCTTCGCTGTGGGGATAAATTATACCGAAATTGCTTCGAATCAAGTCAGAGACCCGGATTGCTTTCATTGCTTTCTGTACTCTACAACACCCAAGTCGTGCTTAGCTCCATTCATTCCGCAAGTTAGTTTTCTCAGCTCTAGTGGATTAACTTTCTTCCTTATCACAACACTGGCTAAGTTAAATGTAACAAGTCCCGTGCACTGCGTAGGTAGTATCAGCAATGTTTTCAAAGTGTTCATCGCAAGCTGAAGTCAGCAACGACTGTATCTGCTCAGGCTGGAATCATTGGAATCTTTCTAGAAAAGCACCAACCAATATGCGAAGGAGATAGATGGCCCATCAAATCATTACAACGCAATCTCGTTTGCATTCACCTTTTTTGCAGCATTAGAGTACATCACTCGGCGCGATATGGTATTTAATTTCCTGTGCAATCGGGCATGCTAGAATACTTCCTAGGTTTGGTAAAGACTGGTGTTTGAAATTCTGTGCGAAGTCGAAAGTAAATATGCTCTAGAAGCTTCGCCTCAAAATTCGTGTAGAAAATATCAGTTATTTAAAATACAGCTCTCTGGTACATGAGGCTAATTTTTTGAAAGGAGTTATCAGTTTGTTATATGTTTTTCAAATTTTGAACAGCCAATAAAAGTGTTCACACTTTGCGGAAGAAGGTTTAGCTTCGTTTAATCTACTGGCTAAAATTGACTTCTATTTCTCATCCACTCATCATTTTCTATTAACACTATTTTTCATATTCTCGCAAATCCACGCCTTTTTTCATTATGAAATTTTCATCTTGTACTTTTTTCCTATTGGCATGTTCTCTTTTCGTCTTCACCGGCAAAGCTCACTCTTTAAAGTACTACCACCTTATTCATTTTTCTTGTTGTTTCAGATGTACCATGATTATGTGCAAGTGAATGCCTCAAGTGTAGATGGATTTGAAGAACGGGTCACGTATCATACTGTAAATACTATTTTGGGTGTTGCTTGCACTATTATCAACTTCATCCTACTAGTAATTTTTCTAGGATACCGACCGTTTCGCACACGTTATGTGGTAAGTTTTTTCCAATATCACTGCACCAAGAATACTCAAAACGTTTTATTAGAAATCAACAACGGCTTATGAATCTTGAGTTTATGCAAATTATCCAGTCTTTTCCAGCTGCTCATCCAACTATGCATTGGTGATTTGATCTACTCTGTAGCTGCCACACTTACGGGTCTGAATCGGATTCAGCTATACTCGGCGGCAGCCAGAACGCTTACGCTCCCAGTTAGAACTACGGGGGATTGCGCGACGGAGTTATGGCTCCAGCTGAAGTTAATAGGTATTGCATATACGGATCTAAAACTCAAATCAAAGTACAAACACCAGCTACTTGTGTACTTTTGTACTTATGTAGTATTGTACCCTTTCTAAGCGAACGTCGTTCCAGGTGACTTATTTATTCCTGTGACCATCTTTTGGATGGGTGTTGAAAGATTTATTGCCATTTCTTTCCCGCTTTTTTATCGACTGAATGTAGACAGGAAACCGTTGAAGTAAGCATTTTACGCTACTTTACATTGTAGAAAAAATCGTCCTTTACTCCCTACTTCTAGAGACTCAGTTTCAGATGTGTATTCATACCACTGCTTAGCAGCATGTTCGTTGCCATATCCGTCACATATGCCTTTTTCACAGCCATTCACTACAATCATCTAACCCAATACCACTGTGGGCGCAAAGCCACCTTTGGCGAAGGATTTTCTACTTTTCTTTATGTATCGAATATTTTCTGCAATGTTTTGTCCACTGTGTTAAACGGAGCTGCTTATATCAAGGCGAAGGGGATGACGAAAAATGTGTAAGTGAAATTATGTGATCTTGCCAAGTCATCTCCACAACTCATTTTTTCAGTCCTCGTGCCCAGCGTCAAGTGGCTATCATTAGGTACTACTTACTGATTTCTGTGTTATCTACAGTATTAGTAACGCTGCCAAATACGATCGCTCTCTTCCAAGTGTATGTGAAATCGGTGAGCTGTTTTTTGAGTTCAGTTACATGTATCGAAACAGTGTGCAATTTTGCAAAACGTCTAAAAATTGCTTTAAAGTAGTGAGCGACCTTACGATGGTTCTTATTATACCCAGATTCATAGCTAAAACGTCAAACCAGCAGCGGGTTTTCGGGGAAGTTAGTCGCAGTCTTTTCTTTGATCTAAATTTTGAATATTTTTGAGCGTCTTGACAGCATGATGACTTCTTCGTGGTGCGTCCGCATCCTCCCTGCTAATTACTCTGCTAATTTATTACAGTATTAAGGCTGCTAACCTCTGAAGGCTTGGCTTTCAGGGAATAAATTTGAGAGCCCGAGACTGATATAGTTTCCAGAGACAAAAGTTAATATTGCAAAATTGATAGAACTCAAACTTTATGCTTTTCTCTCTTGAAGCATTATTTCCCAGAATTCTCAGTTTTCAAAACATCCCAAGCGCGTGAGCTGCCACATTTCCACCTATCTTATAGCGTATTATCACTGTAACTATAAATCTGCACATCCTAATTGCTAGTTCTCAATGAATTTGCAACAATAGTGAAAGAGTAAATAATGTGGCATTTAGCTTTGCTGTCAATGTCTGAACAGATGTGGTTTATTACAGGTCAGCGATGCGATCTCAAAACCATCAGTGTGGATGCAAACGGTGAATTCGGGCATTCACCTTTTTGTTTACTTGGCTTTGAATCGAGATTTTCGAAAACGAGCCATTTATCTTGCGCATTGCGGAACTAAAGAGAAAGAATTTTCTAGTACGTCATTTTTCTAGTGTTGCTTTCGATTAACGACACAAAAATGGTTTTACAGATCACTATCCAGATTCAGTGGTTGCTGATGGCGCAGATAAAACTTTGATCAAAGAGGGAAAGCAGCCGCAGGAGCTTATACATCATTAGAAAGAATAAAACGGGAACTTACCTTTGCTTATATCCATTTGCATGATTTGCAATTTGAATGAGCAAGTCTTGAACACTGTTTCTTTATTTTACAAAGCGTGTATTTGATCACCGGTATTTCGTTAATAAGATCTGTCTTTTGGTTTTGTCAATATTATGGCAATGAAAGTATTTTTTAGTATGTCTAGTGGCTTTAAATAAAAAGAGATAAAAACAGAAATGTGATTGAAAAACAATGTTTTTGAGTTTGTCTAGTGGGTCTAGGCGCTAAGTGAAATATAATCAGTGAGATTTTGTTAAACCACTTGTTTGACTGGGGGTTGTGATGAGAATGAGCTTGGAAATTTGAATCTCGAATCAAATCAGTTCCCGTTTTATGCAAACTATATGAATTTTGATCGTTTTTTGGTAGTCTAGTGCTTTGCTCCAGCTTCCACTGGTTAAAGAGAAATCACAAAACATAATAAATATAGCCCACGTAGGTCATAAGGAAAGAAAAAAATCTCAACCTAGAGGTAATTCTAGTGATACTTGCCTTAGTTTTTCGCTCAACAAGGTATTGAACCCTGCTAACTTGTTTGGTCGCATAAGGTTCAACGGATCCATCGTAGGAATGCTGGAATAGTTATCAAATTATGATTTGAAATTCAAATTTGACCTTCTGAAATCCTTTATCAGGAAGAACCCTGTATAAAAATGTGAGGTAGCTGAAAACATTTCAGGAGTAATAGGGAGTTGTGACTGGTATTTTATCAACATACTGCAAAGAGATGAATAAGCCGCTTTACGGCGCTGATCATGACTAGTTATAGGAGAAAAGAAGCACATGACGCATTCGTGCTTTTTATAGTCAAGTATCTTCAGTATTGTTGACCGATGCGCTGTTCTTAGCCTTTATATGCTGCAAATTCCGTCACAGCTCATTATTGCCACAACTTGGCGTAAAAGCGCCTTTACGATCGGCAAACGCCTTATCGCAGCGGATTGAGTTTTTGAAAAAGAATAAGCTGTTCGAAACAGCTCGACAAGCCATTGACAACTCTCAAAACAGATAGCTTGTAGCGACATAGAAATTGCTAACGTAATCATTCATTAGCATAACAGAACATTACCGAGTGCCATGAGAAAGACCAAAAAAAATCCGGTGCGTTTTGTTCTGCTGATGAAATGCCGAGGGAATTTTTTTAAGTTGCGGATGTTGAAGATTCGGATAATTGAGCTTCAGTACATACTTCTGTGAATCCTCGATATTGATTGAAAACAGTAACTAACAAGTTGACGACGTGGCTTTTTTTTCAAGTCTGTCCCTGTAGATGAAATGTTTCCGTGCACTCTTACGTTTGACTTATATGTACATGAATTATGCATAAAATATAAACATACAAGCTGACGAGGCAGTTCCGCCCTTGCTCCGGGAGTCATTTGCGACCTCTTCTATGCGTTTGAGCAAAAAAGTTCTTTGCAGGAGGAAACTGCAGTGGGAAGGGTTTGTCAGAAGAGGAGCGGGCGAACGAAAACGAAAAAGCAAGAGCCTATGTTAGTTATACGGACACAAATTAGAACGATTGGGTCATAAAAATTCAAATTTGCGGAGCTCGCAGCACTGCGCTGCGTCGTCCACAGGTGCAGACTGTCTGCCACGTACCTTGCGCTGCGCTGTCGTCAACGTGTTAGAAAACGAGTCCTTACTCCAAATCAATATGATCAACAAAGCGACTTATCGAATAAAAATATGTTTATCCCAATTACTGCTGAAATAACTCACAACAGCTATTAGAAAAATAGCCATTTTTCTGGCCGGAGGGCATAAACTTGCGACCACGGCTTAGACAAGAACTCCTTTGTTATCAATTACTCAGTCATTGTTTCTATTGAATGTTCATATTAGAATAGTACGCACGCCTACACATCATTCTGACTGCTGTACGGAGAAAGAACAGATGGCAAATAGGAAGAAAAGGAATAAGTGGGAAAAGCCATTTTGATATATTCGGTCATTCCAAAAGTAATTTCGCTTTTCTCAAAGGGGTGCCACATTTGAAGGAACAAAGTTTTCTAAGAGATCTTGTTAGAATTCAATGCAAAATTTCATTTTCTTCCTAACGGTTTCAAAATCATTGTAGCGCAGTTAATGAACTCTCGGAAAATCTCCAAAGTCTGCTACCAACGCTTTTTGCTATGGTGCACTTTAGCTGTTTTTCAAAATCTTTATATCAATCCTCTGAAGGAGCCCAAGTAGCCAGTAGATAGAGCAAACCCTACAGGATGCAAAACAATTTTTCACTCCTTTCCATAGCTCGTCATATTTTTTAAATAGAATTTTGGTTGATGCTATCAATTTCCATTCTTGGTCAACTCAAACATCGTAGAACATCAAGCGGTGAGCAGCTCGAGTGTCATTCGATGCAGCTTGTTCTCCTCTTTCTAATGGATCTTTTTGTTTTCCCTTCGTGGAGTTTTGTGGTAAAACCATTATAATTCATATTTTTGAACGCGTTCCGGGCTGTATCCGGAAAATCCGAAATCGGATATTTCGATTCCGTAGCTCTCATTCGCTTTGTTAAATTAGTGATAAATCATAATACCATCTTCGAAGTTTGAATTCCCAAGATTTATTGGTGTTTGATGCGAATGGGGCTGACGTAGGCCTTCAAATTCCGTTGGTTTTGATAACAAATATTTTGAGAATTGATGGCTAGATATAAAAACAAGAAACAAGTCGTGCCATATCCTATAAGGTCTGCTCTATCGAGTCCTTACTCAGAGCTCCTTCGGAGGATTGATGTAAAATTTTATAAAAATTGTGAAGCTTGAGCATCTCAAAAAGCATGGATTGCAGACTTCCGTAATTTAGAAGCTCTTTGACTGTGCTCCACTATTTTTTAGCCCTTAGAAAAAAAAATGAAATTCTGCATCGAACGTTACAAAGATCTCTCAAAAAGCTTTCTTCCTTCAGATGTGACGCCCCTTTGAGAAAAGCGAAATTACTTTCGGAATGACCTAATAAATTAATAGCAACAATGAATGAGCAAAAATGGACAAAAAAGAAGTATTTAACTAAGGCGCTTTTGATGGTTGAAGAATAGAAGGTTAGGATGTAAAAGGTGAAGTGACCGTTACATTAGGTGAAAGGGAGTGCAAAGATAAGAAGCTGTTTAGTTAATAACAACAACAAAGGAGTTTTCAGAAACTCTTAATATTAAACGAAGTAAAATACTTGACAAGCTTACTAGGAATGTATAGGACTGCATAATGCTCATCATTCCTTTGCATTGTAGTAGGCCGGCCCGCAATCCTATGTTGGAATTGACAAGTGGGGAAAAACAGGTACTCAACATTACCCCTTTTTTTAAAAAGCTCTCATAAGATACGCTATTCAGTCTAAGAAAGATTCTTTATAGGCTTTACGAGGGAGACGGTCTTTTCGCACGGGCGGTCTCCAGAGTCTCCCTGATTTTGACCTCTCTTGACATGTAATGCATGCCGCAAATCTTTCCTCCCCATGTTTTGCTTAGACAAAAGCCGCCGCAGGGTGTGTCGCGCGCGGCGCTGGTCCTGTGTGGAAAGCATTACGGTCGTGCGAATCGTCCTACACCCGCTTTACGAGGACTGTTTGCCTGCCACGTGTCAGGATAAGAATTGACACGTTTTAGCCCATTTTAACATGGTTTTTCGAAATTGTGATCAACTAAAAGCTTTTTACCTGTTTTTTATAAGACCAAAACAATTTGAAACTTATATTGGAACGTCTTGATTGATTTCAGTAATGATTGAGAAAAGTTTTTCTCTTTAAACTTTGTTCGCCACGCAAATTTATCCATTAAAGACTATAAATGATGGCTTGATGTTCTATCTGCCGCTTGTTTCGTCACGTGGATGATGGATTCTTAGCACACTTCTTTATTCTTTATTCAAGTCTAGTCTGTTCATTGATAACTGGATGACTTCATTATTATAGTGTTCATTGTTCATGCTGTTTTATCGAAAATGGGGTCACCATTAACTAGAAAAAAAACAGAATGACTTATCATTGATGACTGGATGACATTCTATGACATTTAATTCTATGCTTAACCCATTGACGACGATGTGGACCGCCGGTGGCCCACAGCCCACAGTAAAATCGTATACTTTCCAGGTCTAGCATTTCTCCATAGTTTAGTATTTCTTTTAATTTTTTGCACTCTTGGAACCTGTAGACTTCGTCGTCCAAGAAAGTGATTGTTGTTGTGTAAAAAACAACTTTGCAACTCGTAAATAATCGCAAAACTTTCCCACGCCGAAAGTGCTGTGCAAAATTGCGTCGTCCCACAGCGCCACGCAAAATTAGGCGTCGTCTTCAATGGGTTAAGAGACGCGAGACTGCATTGCACACCTTGTCTTAACAAGCCTAGTCGTGTATTTATCAAGATTATACTTGTTATTAATCTCGTTCAGGTTTAATCGCTTTGAAAGGTAAGAACAAACTCAAACTAGTCACAATGTCCGCATTGCAGTCTCGCGTCTCGTAGTTGTAGAATAGATGGTACATCGCTAAGTATGGCAACACAACCTCTTGGTAAGACTTTTAAACATGTAAATGACATATCAAATTATTTTGGCACCTGACAGAAGGTTGAGGCTCTTTTTTTGTAGTTGGGATCAAATATGGTGCAAGGGAAGAAGCAACTTCCTCTTCCGAAAAAATAGGTCCGGATAGCGGAAAAATATTGAAAAACAATATTTCGGATTACAAGTGTGCCTTCAGGCGATGGTGGTATGCGTCAGTCAGTATTATTAGCGCAACAATCTGTTCAAATGGCAGATCCGCCTGTTTATTCAAGGTCTCGCATCTAGATCGGGATTGGAATACTGGACAGCAAAACTCAGCGAAAACAAGCGAACTGAGCATGCGCTCATCTTGCTCTGATTGAGTGCCATAGCACAACTAGCCAACTACCAACCAGAGTCGATTTGCATGCCATTCTCGAGTGCGAATTCAAAAATTTATTCCAAAGAAC